TATAAATAGAGAAGTTTTCGAAAAAGACTGCTTCAAGTTGAACGACATACTCCAGGAAACTAGCTGAAGGCACATGCAGACCTCCAAATTGGGATTTGTCTTGGTCATATATCTTGAAATAACAATCTAATGTCTTGTTGTCATCCAGATCATTTGACTCAGGTTGAGCAGCTGTCTACATAACTTGACTCGGTTGTCTCAGAATCCTAGTACTGATCTGCCACCCTATAATGTATGCTATTAGTAATATATATATATATATATATATATATATATACATATATAGGCCCTCCAGGGGGTTTATTACTCCTACAGTACTACCTGTGTTGTGTTTGCAATGAAATATGGTACTGGTAAGCATTGTAATCTATAGACAAAGATACTCTAATGTTAAATTATAAAAAAAAATAATAATGAAACAAATTTTATATAATAAAGCAAATATAAAGAAATATATTTCAATTGATATTGTATGTAGCAGTCAATGTGACATTTGCTAAAGATAGAACAAGAACAGAACAGAACACAAGTCACAACACAACAAACATCAAGTTGATAATTTAATCAATATGCCACTGGCATTAATAAAACCAGGCTGCTGAACCACTAGCTACTGGCCTTTGGCCATACAAATCTGCAAGGGTGACGGAACACAAAATTATTACCTGCTGATATTAACATGTAAGTGGCAATCATAGGTGTATTCTGTGTGAAGTTCATACAGAAGATCAACAGTTATACCTCGACTTTTATTGTCAATTGTATTGAGAATTTTGAAAATCCATGCCAGAGATCTTCGTACGAAGATCTGGGTGGAAATACTTAACCCTTTAAGTGGCAATGCATCCTACTTTATTATTTTACTCTGTCTAATGCCAGACGATTTACTCATCAGGGGAATGTGCTGCCACAGTGCCACTCAATGAGTTAAGAGTAAGATTGTCTGACATTTGGGGGCATTGCTAATCAATGGGTTAAAATTCAATTCAAAATTTTAAAAAAATTAAACAAAAAAAAAGTTTAAAAAATTTAACACTGAGAGCAAAAAAATAAACAATATTAAAAAAATTTAACACTGAGAGCACGAATTTATAAACCTTTCCCTAGATGTATACACAGTGGCATCATTCTAGTTTTAATATTTTGCAATGCAAATGTGTCTTGAATATCATTACTTCCAAACAATAGTTTATAGGTCTTTTTACATTTGTCTCTTAGTAAAGTTGTACATGTTCCATCAGTGTATTCTCTAGACAGCAGTAAACACAATCTTTTGCAATCTTTTCCATCAGTGTATTCTCTAGACAGCAGTAAACACAATCTTTGTGACAACAACTTCGACTTTCTTCTTATACACGTTTTCAACATGATTGAAACCTTTGTCTCACTTGTTAAGACCAACGGTAATAATAAACCAGCTTCGCCAAATATCCCGCACTCCTGACAGCTGACATTCGTCAAAATTTTCCGCCTTTTTGCTTGCTTATTTTACTACAAACGCATCTAAAACTAAGCAGTATCCCCCTATATTTGTTATTTTATCCATCTGAAGCCAATCGGCACAAGATAACCGAAAAATATTGCCATTTAAGTGTAAAAACCATGTTGCTGTAGAACAGATCTAAACAAATCCGACTCTCCTCTTTCCTTACAAACAACATGGCGGCCAAACATGCGCGGCATGACATGCGCAAGGACAAAAACTTCAAAGGTTCCGACCCGACTGAGATTACTGTTCAGTCCTTATACTGAGGTTCAACGATGATTCCAAAGAAAATGAAGTTACATAAATTTTAAATTTACAATTAAGAATTTTAATCTACTGCGTTGAAATGCTTAAAAATTGTTTTCTAATTTGTGAATTAAGGGGGTAAAGTCTAAATGCGTTTTATTAGCTACAAAAATACCAAACAGTTTAATGTGTATTACACCCACTGCAAGACTCGTCAACCAAAACTCGAATTCATACGTGAAATTAAACGTATTTAAGAAGCAAAAAGGCTACCGATATTTTGGTCATCAGCATATTTAAAAAACAATTCAAAATCCAAAGAAATAAAAAAAGTTAAAGTAATATCTATATGCCACTGATCTCAAAAATAGTTGCTGCTGACATGTTAGAAAAAGTTTTTAAAGTTTCCAGGGATTGGTCGGAATCAATCAATGATTTAATAATTTAATGATATAATAAGATTCGGCAACTACCTAAAAATACAACAATGGGAGTTCGCCAGAGGTTCCCCCAATTACGGCGATTCCTTAATATTTACCTAAAAATTACATTCAAATAATTGATTAATGAAAAAACAGTCTAAGTAGAACAACACAATTACAAAACGGCTAAACTGGCAACTAACAACAGTTTAAAACACCATCAAAGGATCTAGCCCTTTTACATTTAACACAGGCAGATTTCCAAGTCCGAGGATCATCACAGTTATATGTGTTCGATAGTGTGTTCTTATAATACAATTTCAGTCCTGATTTAGAAGCATAAAAACCAATGTTTCTGTCTCGAAGGTTATATCAATACTTAGTTAGTATGTTTCAGGTTTTACAAGCTCTAATAAAATACGAGGACTGGAACGTTACAATTTTGGCATAAGGTATTAAGAATTTAATTCGATTGTCATTAGTTTCACTTCTAGTGATCCCTGATCCTGATATAACCGGTCGAGCACTGTCATCAATATATGTATAATTGTTCATGATTTTATAGAGTAGGAATGTATCTAGGTATTCGTTCCAGTAAGTTATGGGTAGTAGATCTAGATTATTTAGTCTTGTTGGATATGGTATGTTGGTGACAAACCCAAGATGAAGAATAAATTTGGTTGCTCTTCTGTGCACTTTCTCGATATTTTCATTTAACTGTACGAACTGTGGAGACCGTACTTGGGATGCGTACGCAAGATTGCTTCGAACAAGCTGTAAGTACAGATACTTTCTTGCCTTGATGTCGCAAATCTGCAAGGTAGACCGCCTAATTAATCCAAGCAATTTGTTAGCTTTGGACTTCACCTTGCTCACTTGCAAGATGGATCCATGTTAATTTGGGACTGATAGTTATACCCAGGTCAACTTCAGCATCAGAAAAGAACAACAGGTCACCGGCAAGACTGTATGGAGAAACTGGTTATAGAGAGTACATGGCACTTGGATTGATTGAGATGAAGGTGGTTTTCATTTCACCCTGAATATCCTCTTGCAAGACCAAGGCATCGGAAGGGTTCTTTATGCAACGATACAGCTTGGTGTCGTCTGCAAACAGTCCGACGCCATGCAGCAGAGGGTGATAAACGTAAGTCATTGATATATACATAGAAGAGAAAGCGACCCAATAACGATCCTTGTGGAACCCCAGATGTAATGGATAAAGTGGTCGACGTAGCACCGTGAACATTTACCCGTTGGAAGCCGAAGTCATTGAAGCCAAATTTAAAAAAAAATCAAACAAAATTTATTAAGCACCATTAACTAGACCAAACAATTATTTACAAAAGGTAATTTTACAAAACAATGGAGCAAGCTAACTGTAATAATCATATTAAAGGTTAGACGATACAGTTAGTTTGTAATTATTATTAAAATCAAATAGTGAAAATAGCTCAGATGATTGAATGTCTTAAATATAAAATTGAAATCAAATTATCATGCAAATTATAAATATATTTTAAGAATATAGCTTGAACATTGAACATTTATTTAAATACGGTAAAATCGTCAGTGTATAGGTAATATTTACAAAAAATCTTACATGCATCTACTAAACTAATTTTAATTCTAAACATTATATATATTAAAAACACAAAGATTTCCAAAATTGCCGTGTGGGAATCCCATTATGGTGGCGACAAAAATCAATTGATTTCATTTTTGAAATGCCTTAATGAATTAGCTGTACGTGCAGAATGAGGGAGCGTATTCCATATAGACGTGCCCCACAGTAGCAAAAACTACGCTTCAAATAGTCCGTACGTGGTTTCGGTAAATTGAGCTTCATTTTAGCGTTTCTTAGGTTATAGTTTGTGCTGCGAAATGAAAACAAATTTTGCAAATACTCTGGCGTTAGCTTATCGATTGTTTTGTACATCAATATATATAGACTTGTGCTTTTTCCTCCGTAATGATAGATTGTCCCAATGCAGCTTCTCTAAGAGAATGCTAGAACTGGCATCGTAACTGGACTTCGTAATCACTCTGGCAGTTCTATTTTGTAATTTTTGCATTTTTTCGCATAATGTAACATTAAATTAATTCATCCCAGACTGGGCTACAGTAATCAAAGTAAGGTTCGATTATTGCATTATACATCTCCATTGCAGTTTGGATTGATAGGTCGTATTCGTTTAAGAGCACCTATAGTGGAGGGAGTTTTTACATTTCATATCAATATGTTTGGACCAGGAAAGGTTTTTGTCAATAATTGGACCTAGTGATTTAGCTTTATCAACTTGTTTAGTTACGTTGCCATCTTGGTCAATATTGATATTTTCGTTGGAATGAGCATGCATACGTTGACGCGATTCAATTATCATAAATTCTGTCTTGGCATTATTGACTTAGTTTGTTCGCTTCTAACCAATATTTCAGATTTCTTAATTCTGAATTGATTACATTTTCAAGTTCGGACAATGTATTAGCCGCATAACTAATATTCGTATCGTCGGCGAACACTTCTCGGTGATGCTGCCCTGAGACAATATACTAGGAAGGTCATTCATATAAACGAGGAAAAGTGATGGCCCTAAGTTACTGCCCTGCGGTACACCATAAGCAACTGGTACAGAAGATGACAAGCAAGCATTTACAGTTCATTTTTGAGATCGACCAGATAGATCAGATTGAAACCATTTGAGACTCGACTGGTCTACACCGTAAATCTGAAGCTTCCGCAACAATATATCATTTTCAATAGTATCGAATGCCTTTTTGTGGTCGATAAATATTACTCCATTGAGAAGGCCGCTGTCTATATGGATTGACCAGTTACTAGTGTCTTCAAGGAAAGCAGTAAGTGTACTATGTAGTAACCTGAATCCCAACTGGCAATGCGTCAACAAGCAGCTGATATTGAAATAGTTATAAAGTTGTTCGAAAATTACTTTTTCAGAAATTTTAGCGACTGCTGGAATAACTGAATACCGGTCGATAGTTATTCGGTTCGTTCTTTTTGCCTTTCTTAAATATTGGTGATCCGATACTCTGGCCGTTTTCCACACAGATGGAAATATGCCAGTGCTAATTGATCTGGCAAATATTTCAGTTAGTGATGGTGAGATTATTCCAGCCGCTATCTTTATAAGCTTATTAGGGATGTTATCTAGACAAGGGATTTTCGTTCATTAATTCTACTTAAAAGGTAGGCGGCCTTATATAAAATCTGTGCTCAGCTGGTTGTAAATAATCTTCAGGTTCGACTGCAGAGTTAGGTATCTCTGAGGCTAAATTCTCACCAACACTTGAAAGGCGATTGTTAAAGGCTTCAGCTATATTATTTTACAGGTGTGTTTATTATTTCTTCCCCTATTTTAATTTCCGTAATATTGCTTAATTTATTGCAATGTCGTGAGTTTAATTCGTTAATTAAATTCCATGTTTCCGTGGGTTTATTTTAGCGTTCTCCAAGCATGTTCGTTGTAAAATACTTTTGCTACGCTTTTTTAATTTCGTTATTAGTATAATTTCGGGCAAGCTTGTACTCTTCCCATAGAGCTTAATCATTGGCCAATGCTGCTTTTTGTTTTAGATAATCTCTTCTGTGTATATGTCGCAACAATTGACTATGGTCATCCACGGTGATTTTGCATATAAACTTTAAGTTCGTCAATATGGGCTAAGAGGCTATTAATATTTAACTAGAAAAAATGCATGCAACAACCCCTCGCCTACATTCTCCAAACATTGTTTCAACGTGAAGTATTCATAATTACGCCAACACTGAATGCAGGCTCGCGTTGTTCACGTCATGTTAGTCATGGCAACACGATAATTGTTTTTTTAAATTTTTGATCTTTTTACAAACCTGCAAACAATAGATGAAACTTGTACACTTTTAAATACAGAACTGTCAATTTCTAAAATATATAAAGTAGGTGTATTATTTTGTTTTCCATGGGCTTTATTTTAATGCAAAATTCAAAACGAAACTCCATACTTAAAACGTTTTTAAATGTGATTTGAAATCAATTGCTTTTTGCCGATATAATAAACTTCAACTTATTACTCGCACTTTGAAATGAAATAAATTTAATTCGCACAGGACGCTAATGAAAATAATTTGCCTTCCCTTTTATCATGAACTTCTACAAACGTTAATTTAACTAAGAAACTTTCGCATTTATTGCATAGGAAAGATTTAAACAACAAGAACAAAGACCTATACATTAAGATTACTCATCTTAAATCAATTCTTATTAATGCTTACGTTTAAAAATTTTAAAAATGTCTTTTCCAAGAATGTTATGAGAAACGATTTTCCAATTTTTTTATATTTTTCAGCATGAGCTCCAACTTTGAATTTACTACATGAGTAAATTCTTAATTAAACACGTCCGAATTTA